CTTCTCTTTTATGGGATTTAGCTTCATTATTTTTGTGCTTTTGGAAAATACTTTACTTATTAAATTGTCTCGACTCTTTGGTAAAAAATCTAAAATTATCAAAAATTCGAAAAAATTCAAAAATTTGATTTTCTTAAAATTCAACATTTTTTCTTCTCTTTTATGGGATTTAGCTTCATTATTTTTGTGCTTTTGGAAAATACTTTACTTATTAAATTGTCTCGACTCTTTGGAAAAAAATAAAAAATTATTAAAAATTATCAAAAATCCGAAAAATTGAATTTCTTAAAATTAAACATTTTTTCTTCTTTTTTACAGGATTTAGCCTTATTATTTTTGTGCTTTTGGAAAATACTTTACTTATTAAATTGTCTCGACTCTTTGGTAAAAAATCTAAAATTATCGGAAATTATCAAAAATTCAAAAATCCGATTTTCTTAAAATTCAACATTTTTTCTTCTCTTTTATGGGATTTAGCTTCATTATTTTTGTGCTTTTGGAAAATACTTTACATATTTAATAGTCTCGACTCTTTGGTAAAAAATCTAAAATTATCAAAAATTCGAAAAAATTCAAAAATTTGATTTTCTTAAAATTCAACATTTTTTCTTCTCTTTTATGGGATTTAGTTTCATTATTTTTGTGCTTTTGGAAAATACTTTACTTATTAAATTGTCTCGACTCTTTGGTAAAAAATCTAAAATTATCAAAAATTCAAAAATCTGATTTTCTTAAAATTCAACATTTTTTCTTCTCTTTTATGGGATTTAGCTTCATTATTTTTGTGCTTTTGGAAAATACTTTACATATTTAATAGTCTCGACTCTTTGGTAAAAAATCTAAAATTATCAAAAATTCGAAAAAATTCAAAAATTTGATTTTCTTAAAATTCAACATTTTTTCTTTTTTTATGGGATTTAGCTTCATTATTTTTGTGCTTTTGGAAAATACTTTACTTATTAAATTGTCTCGACTCTTTGGTAAAAAATCTAAAATTATCAAAAATTCGAAAAAATTCAAAAATTTGATTTTCTTAAAATTCAACATTTTTTCTTCTCTTTTATGGGATTTAGCTTCATTATTTTTGTGCTTTTGGAAAATACTTTACTTATTAAATTGTCTCGACTCTTTGGAAAAAAATAAAAAATTATTAAAAATTATCAAAAATCCGAAAAATTGAATTTCTTAAAATTAAACATTTTTTCTTCTTTTTTACAGGATTTAGCCTTATTATTTTTGTGCTTTTGGAAAATACTTTACTTATTAAATTGTCTCGACTCTTTGGTAAAAAATCTAAAATTATCGGAAATTATCAAAAATTCAAAAATCCGATTTTCTTAAAATTCAATATTTTTTCTTCTCTTTTATGGGATTTAGCTTCATTATTTTTGTGCTTTTGGAAAATACTTTACATATTTAATAGTCTCGACTCTTTGGTAAAAAATCTAAAATTATCAAAAATTCGAAAAAATTCAAAATTTGATTTTCTTAAAATTCAACATTTTTTCTTCTCTTTTATGGGATTTAGTTTCATTATTTTTGTGCTTTTGGAAAATACTTTACTTATTAAATTGTCTCGACTCTTTGGTAAAAAATCTAAAATTATCAAAAATTCAAAAATCTGATTTTCTTAAAATTCAACATTTTTTCTTCTCTTTTATGGGATTTAGCTTCATTATTTTTGTGCTTTTGGAAAATACTTTACATATTTAATAGTCTCGACTCTTTGGTAAAAAATCTAAAATTATCAAAAATTCGAAAAAATTCAAAAATTTGATTTTCTTAAAATTCAACATTTTTTCTTTTTTTATGGGATTTAGCTTCATTATTTTTGTGCTTTTAGAAAAAACTTTACATATTTAATAGTCTCGACTCTTTGGTAAAAAATCTAAAATTATCGAAAATTATCAAAAATTCAAAAATCCGATTTTCTTAAAATTCAACATTTTTTCTTCTTTTTTATGGGATTTAGCTTCATTATTTCTGTGCTTTTGGAAAATACTTTACTTATTAAATTGTCTCGACTCTTTGGAAAAGAATAAAAAATTATTAAAAATTATCAAAAATCGAAAAATTGAATTTCTTAAAATTTAACATTTTTTCTTCTTTTTTACGGGATTTAGCTTCATTATTTTTGTGCTTTTGGAAAATACTTTACTTATTATATTGTCTCGACTCTTTGGTAACAAATCTAAAATTATTGAAAATTATCAAAAATTCAAAAATCCGATTTTCTTAAAATTCAACATTTTTTCTTCTCTTTTATGGGTTTTAGCTTCATTATTTTTGTGCTTTTGGAAAATACTTTACTTATTAAATTGTCTCGACTCTTTGGTAAAAAATCTAAAATTATCAAAAATTCGAAAAATTTCAAAATTCGTTTTTCTTAATATTCAACATTTTTTCTTCTCTTTTATTGGATATAGCTTCATTATTTTTGTGCTTTTGGAAAATACTTTACTTATTAAATTGTCTCGACTCTTTGGAAAAAAATAAAAAATTATTAAAAATTATCAAAAATCCGAAAAATTGAATTTCTTAAAATTTAACATTTTTTCTTCTTTTTTACGGGATTTAGATTTATTATTTTTGTGCTTTTGGAAAATACTTTACTTATTAAATTGTCTCGACTCTTTGGTAACAAATCTAAAATTATCGAAAATTATCAAAAATTCAAAAATCCGATTTTCTTAAAATTCAACATTTTTTCTTCTCTTTTACGGGATTTAGCTTTATTATTTTTGTGCTTTTGGAAAATACTTTACTTATTAAATTGTCTCGACTCTTTGGTAAAAAATCTAAAATTATCAAAAATTCGAAAAAATTCAAAAATCCGATTTTCTTAAAATTCAACATTTTTTCTTCTCTTTTATGGGATTTAGCTTCATTATTTTTGTGCTTTTGGAAAATACTTTACTTATTAAATTGTCTCGACTCTTTGGTAACAAATCTAAAATTATCGAAAATTATCAAAAATTCAAAAATCCGATTTTCTTAAAATTCAACATTTTTTCTTCTCTTTTACGGGATTTAGCTTCATTATTTTTGTGCTTTTGGAAAATACTTTACTTATTAAATTGTCTCGACTCTTTGGTAACAAATCTAAAATTATCGAAAATTATCAAAAATTCAAAAATCCGATTTTCTTAAAATTCAACATTTTTTCTTCTCTTTTATTGGATATAGCTTCATTATTTTTGTGCTTTTGGAAAATACTTTACTTATTAAATTGTCTCGACTCTTTGGAAAAGAATAAAAAATTATTTATAATTATCAAAAATCCGAAAAATTGAATTTCTTAAAATTTAACATTTTTTCTTCTTTTTTACGGGATTTAGCTTTATTATTTTTGTGCTTTTGGAAAATACTTTACTTATTAAATTGTCTCGACTCTTTGGTAAAAAATCTAAAATTATCAAAAATTCGAAAAAATTCAAAAATCCGATTTTCTTAAAATTCAACATTTTTTCTTTTCTTTTACGGGATTTAGCTTCATTATTTTTGTGCTTTTGGAAAATACTTTACTTATTAAATATTCTCGACTCTTTGGAAAAAAATAAAAAATTATTAAAAATTATCAAAAATCCGAAAAATTGAATTTCTTAAAATTCAAATTTTTTTTCTCTTTTATACCATTTAGCTTTATTATTATTTGAATTTTTATTCAAGAGAAAAAATGGAAAACTGAAAAAATTTAGAATTTTTTAAAAATTACAGGCCTTTTCCATGATTTCCCTGATTTCCAGAAGCCTTTTAAAAATTCCATACCATTTCCATGATTTCCATGATTTCCAGATTCTGTAGGAACCCTGCTTTTGTCTGACTTTCTTCTAAATTATCGAATTCAGTGATTTCTGGGGTGAATTTGGTTAAGTTGTAAAATGATTAATTTCTATTTGAATTCGTTTTTTTTTAATGTAGAAAATCTGATGTTAATTTAATTCTTTTTTCGTTATGCACGGCAAAAAATATTTTGCTGGATGAACTACAGATTTCACTTTAGTAGCGAAATTATTCAGTGCTTCAATTAATACTTTCGTTATTCTAGAGAAACTTATCGCTATTTCAAGTAAAACTTTTTTCAGTGTGTAATAATTATTATTTCTTTGAAAAGTATTTAATTTAAAATGGCTTTATAAAATAAGCAATGCAAAAGATGACCTAGATACTAATTGTAATTGTTCTAGACATAGTTTAAGTCTAGTAATGTAAATTCTATTTAAATTGAGACCATTGAGTGAAATTATTTGAATTTTAGTTAGTTAAATCTCTTTGTTAGGTTATAATAATTATTTCTTTAAAATTTTTTAAATTGTTTAAAATAAGCAGCCCCATACAACATTCCCGCGCGCTTGCGCGCGAATAGTTTGGCTAGTAAATAAATAAAATAGCATAAAAATAAAAATTAAGAAACTTGAAAATTTTAATATAAACAGTTGTTTTAGACATCAAGAAATGTAAAGACGTGCATAAAAAGTTTCATGTATGTATGTTACAAAAGCTTTGTGCGCCAATCACACAAAAACGCCTGTACCGATTTGAATGAAATTTTGCAGATCGTTAAGTATTCACCCAAGGAAGGTTTATAAATTTACAGATTTAAAAAATATTAATTAGAACGGGAGATATTCAATTTTTTTAAAGAATTAAAATAATCGATAATTTCTAAATTTCACATTTTTTCATGGATTTCTTCTAAACTTTCTATAGATGAGTATTACATGTTATTTAGTCTTATTTTAGCATAATTTTGCAAAAAATACTAACCCATAACTATGTAACGATGGGCTATAATATAGCAAATAGCATGCCACGAAGTAGTATAAGGAGACGTATCACCTATGGGCGGCTATAACAGAAAGTGGTCCCGTTTTCGGTATTCACGGTTCTCAAGTTTTCACGAACTTAAAGACACTTGCGCCAACCGCGGGAAAATTTGGTATTAAAATCACGTGGTTACATGATTTTTTGCCGGTTATAAATATAACCTATATCTCGCACGCAAAAACTGTTTGTATTGCTTTGTTCTTCGCTTTGTTTAACGTGTTTTTTTATAAAATAAATATTAGATTGTTTCAAATAAAATGTAAAAATGTCAGTTTGTTTTGTGAAAGGCTGTGATAGTGGTACAGTTGAGAACGGTCAAAGATGTGGAAACAATTTGAGTTTCTTCAAACCCCGAACGGTACGTGATTTTTTTATAATTTATAATGTTTACAATTGAAATTTAAAAAATTCAGGATGTAAATATTATGTTATCACTATTATTATTATTATTAAAATTTGCAGGATGAAATGCTGCAAACCTGGTTTGCGTCAATTAAGAGGACAGACAAAGTCATGGGTAAAAGCCACAGAGTTTGTGAGAAACATTTCGAAGAATGTGACATCGAAAGAGAATGTACCACGAAATTATCAGATGGAACAATTCATCGAATCAAAAGGCAAAGAATTGGCCTGATGAAAATAGCTGTCCCGTCAAAATTATTGTCCAAAGACAATATTGATTCAATTAATTCTGCCGAAGATAAAACTATAAATGATTCGCATATTATGAAAAGCGGATTTATCAATGAACATGGTTTTAAAGGATTATTAAAGAATTATGATTTTATTCGTTTACCATCAGCCGCTTGGTGGGTACAACCCAAAGAAAGTCATATAATGTGGATTCACATTGACGAAAAAATTAATTTTTCATTAAAGAAAATCATTGTACATTCGGATATGACAATCGACGTAAGTATATTTTAAAAAGTACGCTCGTTATCGAATTAAAATAGAAAAATAAAAAACATTATATATACAGGTATTTTTCAACGTTAGAAAAGTATATACCGGCGCAATCAAGGAAATTTTTGAAATTGCAGCAATACTTGAAACAGCATCAGGCCTGTTGTTCTGTCAAAGTGCAGATTAAACAAGGTATACTATTTATTAAAATTGTAATACTAAATGATAAAAATATATTAATATTAACTTAAATTATTTTAATTTTAATTTCTAGTTCTCCGAAATGTGAGGGATATGTATTACCTAAGGGCAAGAGTGTTAGCGGTCCGCAATCAAAGTACTGTACTGAGTGTAAAAAATGGAGGAAAAAAGAGAGACAAAAAAGAGAAGGACACGTATTCGAGATATCAAAAGGCGCAATATAAAATTGCACATGCGAGACCGCGTGAAAGGAGTGAATCGCAAAAATATTCGACTGAATAAAAAGGTGAGCAATATACATAATTATCTATATTTATTTTGCAATATTTCCTATATTTTATATACATTTGCAGATTGGGCTTTTGCGAAGAAACGTCGAGAAATTGCGGTTACAATGCGCAATTATAAAGGAGGAAACATTAAATAAAGCGATTTCACAGCTACCAAAAAAACAACAATTGGCTGTTCGAGCTTGTTTCCAAGCGTCAAAATTAACTGACATGAAGTGTATGCGTTACACAACTGAATGGATTTACGAGTGCTATCTTTTGCAAGTGAAAAGTAAAAAAGTGTATAAGCAGTTGAGACGCGATAAAGTACTAATTTTGCCATCTCCTGTGACCTTATCCAGATATATGAAACACCTGAAGAGCACGTACGGCTTTCAATCATATGTTTTCACAGGTTTGAAAGTTAAAACAGAATCTATGGACCCGGAAAATAGAAGGGGTGTGTGTAATTTATTGTAAATTAAATATACAAACTTAAATTTCCTTTGCAACACTAATGCAACTATATATTATATAATAATAATTAATAATTTACTAATTTCTTATTTGGAATTATGAAATAAAATTTTTTTAAGATTAACTATATGATTTTGAATTAGTATTAAAAACTTTAATTGAATTTTCAAAAACTTTAAGTGGAAAAATTTAAGAAGATTGTAACTGTAAATTCAAATTTCTGTAGAACTTGTTATTCGGTTTCTTTACTATTAGGTATTATAATTTTTTTTTTATTACAATAAAATTGAATTCATTTGTTTTCATTATTAGGTATCTTTGCTATTAATGAGGTTAAACTCTCTGAAGCTGTGACCTTTGATCGAGTCAATTTAAAAGTCGAAGGTTTCACAGACATCGAAGATTATACACCGGAACACCAAAAAGGTGTAAGAGGCGATCACGCTCTCGTCATCATGTTCCAGCCATTCAAAGGAAATTTCGTGCAAACAGTTGGTTGTTTCCTTAGTAGGGGCAGCGCAAATGGATCTGTGCTTCACAAAATAGTATTAGAAGGAGTTGCATTGGCAGAAGAAGCTAGTCTATTCATAGATGCGGTAGTAACTGACGGGGCCACATGGAACAGGAACATGTGGAAGAATTTTCGCATTTCTGAAAAATGTGTCAGTGCACCTCATCCATGTGACGTAAAACGTCGTTTATGGTTTCTGTCGGACTATCCTCATCTGGCCAAAAGTTTAAGAAACTTTTTTATAAAATTCCCTAAGTTTAGAAAATTTTTTGTAAGTACATAACATTTGTCTTTTATCACAAAAATATTTGTCATTTTATTTCTTGCAACAGTTACTAGTAATTTTTTTTATTATTTATTAGAAACGACCGATATTTTAAAATTTATCGAGAAAAACTGCGAAAATGAACATTATCGCAGTAATTTATTGATTATTTGAGAAAATTGGAATAAAATTAAATATGAAAACTAAGTCTTCAATTTTTATATATTTAAAATGTTTATAAAATTTTTTTAAAATAAATACTATGTTATTTTAATAGTTTCAAATTTTATTTAAAAAATTTTGTCTACAAAAGTAAGAAAATTGACTAAATAGATAAGAAATTGAAGCCACTGACTGTTTTCGCCACCTGTTTATTGTAAATTATGAAAATGTCTTTATAAGTATAATTTTTATTTTTAGACTCCAGATGGAGGTATATCGTTGAAGCATTAGTATGCATTGCTAGAAAAGCTGAATTGTTCACCATATGAGTTAAAAGTGAATTATAAGTTACGAAAAGAACATATCGAACCAAAATATTACGAAAAATGAATGTTGCCCTTGCATTCCAGGTAAATGTAAAAGAACCAACGCATTATTTGTAAAAACAAATTGATTATTTATAATCAACATTTTATTACAGTTCTTCAATGTACACGACGCTTTAGAAATTTATAAAAACACGCATGAAGATTTGGAAGATTGTGAAGGGACAATAGCTTCTTGCAAAACGATCACAAAGTTAAATAAAGCTATGAATAGCAGAACACCAGCAGAAGCTTTATCACCAGGAAATGAAGTTTGGAATGTTAGTAAAACTTTTAATTATAAACAAGAAATGTTTGAAATTTATTATATATTCATTCTTAAAAATGTTATACAGACGATCGAGAATTTTTTAGCATATTTAACGAAATGGGAAGCTGATGCCAAAAAGGAAGGAGCAGACTTTATGAGTGAGAGCTGTTGTTACGGATTAAAAGTTTCGTTACGAGCTGCACTTGAAATCTGCCAATTTTTAGTAGAAAAGTGCAATTTCAAGTACCTGATGACTGGTCGTTTAAACCAAGATTGTCTTGAGGTAAATTTTTTTTTTAAATATAATTTAATCAAACATTATTAATTAATCACAAGGGATATTAAAGTTTGTCTTTTGTAAATTTAACTTGGTAACTTTTTAAAAGTTTCGTTACGAGCTGCACTTGAAATCTGCCAATTTTTAGTAGAAAAGTGCAATTTCAAGTACCTGATGACTGGTCGTTTAAACCAAGATTGTCTTGAGGTAAATTTTTTTTTTAAATATAATTTAATCAAACATTATTAATTAATCACAAGGGATATTAAAGTTTGTCTTTTGTAAATTTAACTTGGTAACTTTTTTCTAGAGGTTTTTGGCATCATGCGAGAATGTTGTGGTGCGAATGACCACCCTGATACGACGCTTTTTATGCAAACGTATAAATTGGTGTCCACATATTCTTTGATTAAGCCTCCAAAAGGGTGCAACGTCGAAGGCAGCGAAATTCTCGAGGCTTTATTAAATCTGAAGGATGTTGAAAACACAAACGAACGAAAAGATCGGTGGGAATGTATGGTAGACTCAATTCTGGACAAAGGAAACGCGCCTGATATATTAGGAGAAGCATCGCGAGTTTTAAAAGATCATGACTATACACTGTCCGAAACATCCGAATATGCGTTAAGTTACATTGCTGGATATGTAAGCAGAAAAAGCGTTCGATTTGTCAAATATATAACAGGCAATACAACCATTGAGTGTAATGATTGTCTGCAAAGCTTAACTTTATTAGCCAGCGATGTCATTCCTGAGCGGCATAAATTAATAGAATTAAAGTCAAGAGGTGGTCTAAAGCATCCTTCAGTTAAATTGTTTGATTTAATTCAATCTTTGGAAACGGCCACCATCGGAGTTGTAAAAGAAGGAGAAGTAAATGTTAACACTCTTTTCGAAATTACGCAAAAATTAGAGGAAATTTCTCCGTTACCATTTGTTGGTTGCGAACAACATACCATTTTGCTTACTCGTCGAATACTGGTATTCTACCTTACAATGAGAATGTTTTTCATCTGTAAACAATACAATAGAAACAATAATAATTCTCGCGAAAAAACGATGGAAATAAGAAAATCAGCAAAGCTGACAAATGACACTGAGATCAACGATTCAACAGAATTTGACACAACGAAAGACAATTGTTGTGATGGCAATGAAGGTTTTGCAAAAAGACAACCGCGTAAACGGAAAGCTACAAACCAATCAATGACAGCTAATAAAAATGCTAAAGCCAAGAAAGAGACAATTTCGAAAATTCAAGAAACCGATGCTAATTGTTTTCCTTTAGTCATTGAAACAGATAAATCTATGGAAGAAGTGAATTTTTTAACTGCGACTGACGATAATGATATTTTGGAATTCGACCACTTTAAAGATTATAGCTGTGATGAAAATAAAAAAACCCCAAAAAAATCACGCAAAAGAAAATCAATAAACACTTTAAACAAAGAAAAAGAAATCGTTGAATCCAAGAAAAGAGAAATTTCGAAAATAAGATAATTTCGAAAACGAATTATCATAAATATGCCAAAGTACGACGATGTTTAAAGTTTTTCTATCTATGTCATATTTGATTACACTGTTTTAAAAATATTTTTGTTTCGTACAAAATATTGCAAAGTTGTAAATTATTTACTTATATTGATATTGTCAATATAATTTTTTTTAAACAATTGTTTATCTGTATTGAATAAAAAATGTGTTTCTCAAGTTTCCATATATACATTTTTTTCTCATTTTCAGATCTAACCAGATGAATGATTAGCAACATATGTTTACTTTATTATAAGAATTTTATTTTTTGTAAAAACACATATTTTGTAAAAAAAATGTATACAATATTATTAATGTTAAAATACAAAATATTTTGTAAATGTTGTAAAACTATAACTTATTTCACAGTAGGAAAATTGAAATCTATTTGATTGTTTTACATTGTAGAAATTATGTACAATATACAAAGTGATAAAAGAGTTTCACAATTTGATTACATATGAAACTATCACAATAATATTAATTAATATTGATAAACAAAAAATAATTATATCATGTTACTTTAATATAAAAAAATTTTAAGTCATGAAAAAAGATAAAATTATAGATAAAAATCAAAAAAACAAATTCATCAAGGATAATAATTGTAAAAATTACAATAATTAAAAAAATTAGTATAAAACTAAAAATATAAAACAGGTCACTTTATAAATAAATAATGTATAGAAAAATAATTTTCATCGTATTTGAAATGGTGAGCAGTCGGTGTTGAAATCATTTTACTTGCTATTATATGGGCTGATAATCGGTAATGCTACATTTGATAAGAAAGTTTTCAGCACATTTCCTTGTTTATATCATTTTATCAACAACGTCCAAAAGTCTTCTGGTTTCTTCAAAATTCGTAATTTTTATAAATTCTGAAAGAGGATTTAATTGTTCATTTATGAAAATTTTAACCCTTAAATCTTTCAGTATTATGACTTTTCTTATCACATCAGTGTTTTCTATTTTCAGAAAACCACAAAAATTTGGTGATTCTTTTACGAAACCCTAATCTGTCGATGGTAATTTTAGGTTTTCTAGACTACTTTTAAACATTTCAAAGCAAACGTTTTGTCTTGGAGATGTCATGATTTGTAACATAACCTGAAACATGTGCATATTAATTACTACATTAAATTTATATAATAATAATAATAATAATAATAATATAAATAAAATTTTACAAATTGAGGAATTCCCTTTAATAATCACGTTTTATAAATAATATGTAACCATTATGTGTATACTTACTTTCAATTAAACATTCAATTCCATTAATATTCTTTTCATCTTATTACATAAATTTTTAAGTGCGAGTCACATACACTTTGGATAATGTCATGAAATTTATTATCACATATAATTACTTTATATTGAATTAATATAATTAAGGGGACGGCTTCTAAAAGGGGATACGCGTGGATTCTTACGTATAAGTATTGACCAATAGTGTGATTTTAAAACATTTTTAATTTTCAAATTCAATGACATAAATTTATACACAATGAAAATGCGCATCTTTTTTCTTCCAGAAATAAATTTATATCTTGTTTAGTTTATAAAATAATGAGAAAAAACTAAATTTTTGAAAACCGAAAAATTTAAATGTTTTACGTCTTTAACTCGTGCTGGTGTTTTTGATTTTTAGGGTTCTGTACACCTACGGTGTATCGGCGGAACCCTATTGGTGAGACTCTGTTGTCCGTAGCCAAATCGTGTCCCCCCCCTAGCGGCTAAACTATTTGACCTGAAGAGCCTAAATTTGGTCCAGATATGTATTTTCACACGTAGATTACAGGAAAAATATAGCGAATGTGATTGGACGTGATGGGCATAGCGTTGTCAAGGAAATAACAAGATTTTTGGCCACAAATGCATAAAAAGTGACCATTCCCCCCCCTTAACTTCTAAACTATTCGACATGGAGAGCTGAAATTTTGCATGCTGGTGTATTTTTACTCGAATATTACAGAAAAAATATAGAGAACTTGATATGTAATGATGGCCATACACGGTGAGCTTGGATGAAATTCAACCCAAAAGTCATGACCCTTTCTGGTTTATTTTTGATATTATTTAAGTGATGTCTAATAATCATTTTAAGATAAAAATTAAAATAATCGTTGGAGGGAAACTCAAATTATATTGATTTTTTAATTTTTTTTCTAGGTTATTGTACATATTTTCTGAAGGATAATGTTTTAAACAATATTTATTGCTTGAAAAGATATCTTTTAACATTAAAAAACATTCTATTTAGTAAAAACAATATTTTAATATTTATAAAGCTAAAAAATTGTCGAAAAAGTCGAAAAAGTGTGAATTTTTTCGTTTTTCTGAAAATTACTCTTTTATAAGTCATTAAACACTACTATTAAATAAATATACTATTAAATATATTAAATATATATACTATTAAATTAAAAATCGTTAATGGAATTTCGTTGAATTTTCTAAAATAAATGAACATGATTTCTGTTAGTTCAATAAAAAGTTTATTTATTTAAAATTGTTTAAAATTAAACTTTTTTAAACATAATTATTATTATATGGTTTTCAAGTAAGGTCCAGAAAAAAAGATTTCACCAAAGAAACTGGACTTAATGACAAATTTCAATTACTTTTTTATTAAAAACGAACTTTAAATCATCATATTTCTGTAACGACAATAGATAGAATAGTTTTTCTTGTTTAGTTTTCCAGGAAATTTTATGTACTTTAATTTACATTTGCATAATAGTAGTGTTTAATGACTTATGAAAGAGTAATTTTCAGAAAAACGAAAAAATTCACACTTTTTCGACTTTTTCGACAATTTTTTAGCTTTATAAATATTAAAATATTGTTTTTACTAAATAGAATGATTTTTAATGTTAAAAGATATCTTTTGAAGCAATAAATATTGTTTAAAACATTATCCTTCAGAAAATATGTACAATAACCTAGAAAAAAAATTAAAAAATCAATATAATTTGAGTTTCCCTCCAACGATTATTTTAATTTTTATCTTAAAATGATTATTAGACATCACTTAAATGATATCAAAAATAAACCAGAAAGGGTCATGACTTTTGGGTTGAATTTCATCCAAGCTCACCGTGCATAGCGTTGTCAAGGAAAAACTAAAAAATTAAAAAATGTGTTTTCTCTAACTTTTACATTAGAGGAATTCCACGCCAAGTGATCATAAGAATTTTTGATGATTTTAGCAATATTAAAAATACTTTCAGAATTTCTTCCTTTTTATACATGGAATAAAAGTGTATAAAAGTTTTTTTAAAATTTTCAAAATTTTTTGAGTTACCTCTTACTCAAAATTTTGGTCGGTTTT